CCCTCCTTTGGCTTCGGCTGCGGGACGCGTTCGACGGGCACACAAAGCCGCTGACATCAAACGAATGCTGCCAGACATTCCCTACGCGTGGCGACAGGCTATTGGTTAAAAAGCCGACGAAACCCGCCTGCCACATCAGGTGGACAACCAATCGGCTGCACGCATGTGCTCCTTCAGAGAAATACGCCTGCGCTACACGTAGGATGTTAGTGTAACGACATGCTGTCGGTAACCTTCTTCCTCCTTACGCTTACATGTTTGGATACTGCAAAAGGCAGTCAGGGTAAATAATCGTACCAAGGGTCACCAAATAATTACTTTTAGATATCCGGGTTATCGCCTTTCGAGGGGAAACGGATGATGCCACCAACAGGTTCCTACGATCTGCGAAAGTGTTTGGCTACCACTTTCAGGAAATCGATCTTTCACGGTATGGACGTACAACGGAGATGGTTCCGGACTCGGTGAAGACGAAGTATCTCCGAAATTATCTCCAGACCCTTGAGGACGATGAGCCTACCTATGTTCTTGTGGTTGACGGGTAGGCAGTAGCTTAATCCTTTGCCAACTGAGTCATTTAACTGTGCGTAGTTTTCATTTAAAATTCCTTAGCTTCAGTCCAAATAATTTTAATTCCTCTTTACTAGCCACTCCACCATCCTCCTGGCTCGTCCTTTGGATCTGCTTGATAAGGCCACTAGCGTGGGCTCGGACATTTTATTCATTGAAGACGTAAGTAAAATTCAAAGGCAGTCCTGTGATGTAAGTGCAAAGAAAGTGATCTGGTTTTTACGTAATGTGACCAGGTAAAATTTTCCGACACCAGGATAGCTGACTGGTAAATAACCGGTGTTGATAACAGCATAATGCTTCTGCCTAACAGTTCTCAATCCACAGGTAAAATTATAAAGGAATCTAACCTCCTACTTCCAATTCATTCAGTAGCCTTCATGATTTGAAATATTGGGCGTTTAAACAATTTAAAGAATTATTGATGACAATTTATACTTTCTATACTTTTGTTAAATCAAGGATAAGGACTTAGGGGAATCACAGTCGGAAGCACATCTGCTCTTCAAGGGTACCTTCGCCAAGACGAAACTTCTTAAGCTGGCTCTTGCTAAGGCGGAGGATGCAACGGACGTCTCACGTTCCTTGGTCGCCATCCAGGAGGAGGTAAGCTGAAGTTATTGCCCGCTTTTTATTTCTAACTTGGCTCAGAATGTCGTGCTATTAGCGTACCTTTCAGGCAGTTTATAGAACAAGGTTTATTTTGTAGAAATCTTTTAGATAAATAGGTTAGCCAAACTAAATTTTGTAGACTACTGCTTCAAAGTGAGTAGTGCTCAGTGGATGGCTTTCAGAAGCATACATATGTTGGAGATTTTAATATCATGCCAGGGTTTCATGCCTGTCATGTGCAGTAAATTGTATTTAACATTGGGTGACGTCTGCAATTCAAGGCGTGAGAGAATTGTATGCTTTTTGTTGATAAGGGGTTTCCAATGCGTCCGTTTTTGGAGTTCTGCCCAGCCAATCCACCAGATGTATCGTGGAGTAAAAATGAATTTTCCTTGTGATTACTAAACTTAACGACTTGGAGCCCCCATAGCCTGCAAACATCACAAGAGTCATCTGATGAATAGGTTACGAAAACGTCTGTAGAATATTTTCACTCATGGGAAGTACTACCTTAATGCGTTTGTCCTCTTAAATTCACTAACCCATTCCCTGCTTTTGCCACGTACCCTCTGTTTACCATCACGCTAACCGCCCCTAATCTGATACTATATTTTATCCTGACAAACTTTTGTGGGCACAGTGCTTTTTATCAACCTTCATTAAATTTGGCTACACGCTTTTTTCCTTGGTGAATTTTTTGCATATTTAAAAATGGCTTCACAGGCTGATAGTTATTTTGTTCTGCCAACGGGTAGCTTACAGAGGCAAAAGATTTTAAAGGTCGGTACTTTTTATGTATGCAATCCAGCTTCCATGGCTGCTGGTGCAACTTCTGTCGGTTTTTAGGAGTCCCTACAAAAAAGAAACCACTTTGCCTAGCATACCATTTTAACTTGGATTTTTTTCGGATTTCATTGAACAGTTGGGTGCGAAGGTGACGGTTGACAGAGACTCCCAGTTCTTCCAGCTGGTAACGAACACTTCGGGTAAAGCCACCTCCCTGTGAACTAAACTGGCCTTTAACAAGCATGGCTTCTAAAGCATTCGCGTTTTGTTTTCCGCGCATGATATATGGTCCTGTGCACTACAGGGGTTATTCAGGTGGCCATGTCTAACAGAATTCCGTTGCTATCTCCTTTAGATGAACTGAAAATTCGCTTTGAATACGACCGAGGTTACGTGCAGAACACACACAAGGACACCATTCCAGTCGTGGCAGTGGCGTCATCCAACGGAAAGGTAAGTTACACATTTCAGCCAATTTAACGCACTACTGCCCATTTGCCCCTATCTCCTGGGCTTGCTCCCAACGTCCGTGGGTGCCAACGTTTCGCACACCCGGGCCTGCGACCGCGTGGCACTTATTGTCCAATCAGCTGGCGACCTTAATAGCGACTACGTGGCATGTGCATGCCCACGGATGGGCGGTCTGGGCGTAGGGTGCCACAGCAGCGGGGATGAAAAGCGCATCTTGGCAACTGCCGGCCAAACACATAAACAGTGCGTGGACAGAGGCTAACATGCGGGCAAGCCAGCTTTCAGCAGTCGGTTTTATAAGTA